AATCCCATAGGTGATCTGTGTTTTCCTCCTCTGTGCTTTGCATGCAAGTCTGAGGCAGAGCCAGAGAGAGCAATCAAGAGACTGTGAGACAGCACAATTGGAAGACAGTGCTCTTGCTACCAAAAGCATGAGGTAGAACAAAGGGAGAGGGACAAAGAGAGGAAAGAGCGCACATGCCATCCAGAGAGAAGAGAGTTTGTGTGCACATGAATGAAAGAAAATATGAGCCCAGGAGAAGCACATGTGAGAAGAGAATAAGAATATGTGAGGCAAGGGAGTGAGACACAGAGAGAGCCAGACTGAGGCGGCTCAGGGGCCAGGGGGCTGGAAAGAGTGTGGGGAGAGACCCAGTGCAAGAGAGAGGCAGAGAAGGCAGAGGTCAGCAGTGAAGGAGAGAGCTTATTAGAGTAAGCCAGAGCCAACAGTCAGGATCAGTCGAATGAACGAGGGCAAGAGGAAGAGAGTATGTGAGCACGCACATGTTCAAGAGGGTAAAGAGAGGGAGGCTGTCAGAAAACCAAAGCGTGATTGAAAGGTGTGTGAGTGCACAGGGGGATGGCGCAAGCACCAGGAAGGCAGCCTAAGAAATCAGGTTTGAGAGAGGATAGGGAAAAGGGGGAAGGAGCAAGAGGGGAGAACCAGGGGCTGGGAGGCAAGCACAGGTGAGAGAGGCCAAAGCCAGGGAGAGGGAAGAGAGGAGGGAATGACATACTGGGTAGAAGAAGGAAGGAGACAGGTGGGCCAGAGAGTTTAGGACGTGCACTATGCCTGTGTTCTCCTGGTGCTAAGGTGAGTTTCTCTCCACTGTGTGGGGTAGACAGCTGTTGCTCTCCTTGCCTGTACAGTTTTTCCACGAAGGATGCCATGCTCTCTTCAGAATTTTGACTTGTTGTGTTTCTCAACAAGAGTTGAGTATACACTATGCATAGTATCTACCCTGTTGTTGTTGTAGTTGCCATGAGTCGACTCTGACCCATGGCAACCTTTTGTTTAACAAACACTGCCAGCCCTGGCCTGTCTTCATGATCGTTGGAATGTTTGAGTCCATTGTTTTGGCTATTGTATTAATTCATCTCATTGAGGATTTCTCTCATTTTCACTGTCCCTTTACTTTACCAAAGGCCTTGGTGGTGCAATGGTTAAGCACTCGGCTGCTCACCAAAAATCAATGGTTCAAACCTACCCAGCAGCTCTGTGGGAGAAAAGACCTGACAATGTGCTCCCTTAAAGATGACAGCCTACGAAACCCTATGGGATAGTTCTACTCTGTCTTATACGATCCCTGTGAGTTGGAACTGACTTAGTGGCACACAACAACAACTACTATTTGACCAAACACAATGCTCTTTTCTAGTGATTGGTCTTTCCTCATGACAAGTCCAAAGTAAGTGTGTTCAAGTCTTGCCATTCTCACTTCTAAGGAACATTGTGATTGTATTTCTTCTAACGCTGATTTGTTCATTCTTCTGGCAGTCCACAGTATATCCAGTATTTGCCAACTCCACATCAATTCTTCTTCTATCTTCCTTTTTCATTATTCAGCATTCACATGCATATGAGGCAGTTGAAAAACCCTGGCTTGGGTCAGGCACACCTTAGTCCTCAAAGTGACATTTTTCCCTTTTAAAACTTTAAAGAAATCTTTTGCAGTAGCTTTACCAAATGATCTGTGGACTGTTGCTTCCATGGACGTTGATTGTTGATCAAGTAGAAAGAAATCATTAGTAATTTCAATTTCTTCATCATTTATCATGATGTTGTTTATTGGTCCAGTTGTGAAGATTTTCACTTTCTCCTAGTTCAAGTGTAATCCATACTGAAGGTTATAGTTTTGGACCATCATCAGTAAATGCTTCAAATCGTCTTCATTTTTGGCAGCTAAAGTTGTGTCTCTGAAGGAAGGTTGGGCAATCTACTTCCATAGTGATACCGCCTCAGAAACCCAAGGAGGGTCACTATGAGTTGGGTCCAACTCAACGGCACATAACAACAACAACAAGGTTGTGTCTTCTCCATATTGCGGGTTGTTAATGAGTTTTCCTCCAATCCTGATGCTACATTTTTCTTCTGTAGTCTAACTTTTTGGATTATTTGTTCAGCAAACAGGTTGGGTCAGTATGATGAAAGGTGAAAGGCTGCAGCCCTACTGCACACTGTTTCCAAACTGGTTCAAAATGGAGAGCGATGTGTTCTTCTGCCCTAGTTGCTGCAAAAGGAAAAAAAAAAAAAGTAGAGCTGAGGCCTGACTGTTGAGATGTGATCATCCTATCTTAATTTGTTGCAGCTGCTGCCCTGTTGGCCCATTTTGGTTTTTATAAGTACTGTACTCCAGTTGAAATTTCCTAGGGTGGGATGAAGGAGCTCTGGTAGCATAGTGGCTAAAGCACTTGACTGCTAACCAGAAGGCTGGCGGTTCAAACCCACCAGCCACTCCTCGGAAGGAAGGTTGGGCAATCCTATTTCCATAGTGATACTGCCTCGGAAACCCAAGGAGGGGTTGCTATGAGTCGGGGCCGACTCGACGGCAAACAACAACAACAAGGGTGGGATGAAAAGTAAGAACTGAAACCCAACTCTGATCTACATTTGGGAAGGAGAGGTGAAGGGATTTAACTAAGAGAAGATCTTGGTATTTTCTGGGAAATTCCATGTTTGAACATAACTATCATTTACTTTTTTGCTTGGGCATTCTTCACATTTCAATTGAACCTCATCTCTCCAACTAGTTTGTAGTTTCTGCAAAGTCAGGAATTAGGCCTTCTACCACTTTCTACCCAGGCTTCCTTTCCTTCCCTAGAACATAAGATAAGGTAGGTTTCAACAGAGCAAGACACAGGAAATACTTGTTGACTTTAATTGATTGATTGACTCTTGAATCATGATTATCTGTCCTTATCAAGTGATTACCCATAATAAGGCCCAGATCTGAGTGCAGTTCAGGGTAAATAAAACTCATAGCCACAGGCCTTGCCCTCTGGCAGTAGAAGCAGGCATATGAACTTCAGGGAAGATGACGGCTGAAGGGCCAGATCCGGAGAGCTGTTGCAGGCTGTTATACGCCCTTGGAGGCAGGGGGGGATTACAATTTTTTGTTCACTACAGAAAAGTAAGTAAGCACAAGTAGGCCCATGTTTACCTTGCTTACTGGGTTCTCTATCCGTGTCAGGGATTGTAAGTTTAAAAAAAGGCTTTAGTCTATGAGAAGGGGTTGTGGGGTTGGGAGAGACAAGATGCCAGCCATACTTAGAAGCAGAATCTTCGATGTGGTGAACAAATGTGAACTTGTTCACTACAGATTAGTAAGCAACCACAAGTAAGTCCCTGCTTACTGAGTAATTCAACTCTGCTTAGAAGCCACGGGCCTCAGACTACAACTTGGTGCCACGAAGTGAGAGTAGCCTGGGTTTCCTTACCCCCCCACACACACACACACACATGCCTGTCTTTTAACCTCCACCCCACCTTTTTCAATGCAGGATAAAAACCTATGCCGCCTGAAGAAGACAGCCTGAGGAGTGTCGATAACCCACAAACTGAGCAGCATTAGGGAGGTGACAACAGGACATTAACGACTATTTTGGTTCTTTGTACCAATCAATGCTTTCATTAATGTGACAAGTCATATTATTTTCTTCGTTTATTACATTGGTATAATCTGTAAGCAGAGGGTTGAATGTCTATGATGGTGTGACAAAGATATAGTACTTTAGAAGTAGAAAGGAATGGGTACAAGAAAAGTTGGTATGTAGAAATGGAAATTTAAAGAGTAATGTGAAAGAAGAGAAAGAGGAAATTGAACTCAAATCTGAGTATGCCCCTCACTCCTGCCTTTTCTTCCTTGTTTCCCTCTCTCCCTCCCTCCCTCCTTCCTTCCTTCTCTACCCCTCCCACTCCCAAGCACCTTCCCTCAAGGGAATTGTACAGTTTCTGGTTCTGAATCCAGAAATAAGGATGGTCCCTAAAGGAACTTCTAGCACTCCTTACTGACTAGGATCAATGGTTCTAAGAGGTCCTTCTAACGGGAATTGATCTGTTGGAACGGGACCATAGGAACCAGGCTGGGGACAATGTTAATAACCACAAAAACAATCAATATTTATGGAGTACTTGGCATGTGCTTGACGCTCTACTAAGCACTTTGCATCATTATTTTACTTAATCCTCACAATCCATATACTATTATGTTTTAGGGGAGCTCTGGTAGCATAGTGGCTAAGACACTTGCCTGCTAACCAGATGGCTGGCGGTTCAAACCCACCAGCCACTCCTCAGAAGGAAGGTTGGGCAATCCTACTTCCGTAGTGATACTGCCTCGGAAACCCAAGGAGGGGTCGCTATGAGTCGGGTTTGACTCGACAGCACATAACAACAACAACATTACATTTTAGAGATTAAGAAACAGAATTTTAGAGAAGTTACAACTCACCAACTAGAAAGTAACAGAAACCCCAAACCTGAGCTTTTAACCAAATTGCTCCATGTAGCGCCCTGACCAGCATTAGACTCAGAGAGCGCACAGCAAGTACTTAATAAAGAAAACAGAGACTGCAAACATACTAGAAACTCTCTGGCTTTGGAAACCAAGCAAAATAAACACTTCAGTTTATTGCCTCCTTATCTATCTGCCTCTTTCTCTCATTTTGTTCCCACTAGATTTTTAACCCCATTTCTTTCACTAGCTGGTTGTATAAACATGAACAAATTATAGAAGTCCTTGATGTTCAGTTCTACCATCACAAAAAGGAAGAGACTGATGGGGTGAGAAGATCCCTAAGACTGCTTCAATAGGAAATCTGTCCCCTTTACTGGTTTTACCTCCTCTAGGCAGACCAGCTGCGAATCGCCTCAGTAAACCAGGCCTGGCCCTGTTCTTCTGATGGCAGGTGTGCCTGAAGACCTCAGTTCAGAAGTGCCCCACACAGGCTGTTTAAAAAGTTGACGCATACGTGGGCATTCTCTCTTATTAACATTTCGATTCTGTGTCTCCCCTCCCAGTGTACGCCTGCTCTTTAGTCATCTGAGCGCCCCGACTGTGCCACCCTAAGGGCCATGGAGAATGAATTACCAGTCCCACATACATCTAGCAGCGCCAGCGTCGCCAGCAGTACCAGCGGAGTCACTAGCAGCAGTGGCAGCAACAGTAGCAACAGTGGTGGCAGTGGCCGCCCTACGGGCCCCCAGATTTCTGTGTATAGTGGCATTCCTGACCGGCAGACCGTGCAGGTAAGACTTTCACTAACCCAGGAATTATGCTCCTTGCTGCCTGCAGAGCTACCCAGGAGGAGGTGTCGGCCTGGTCTGGTAGAACAATCTGGACATTGAATCTAGAATGGCCAGAAGGGGATGGGTTGGTAGATTAGTACTTGTGCATCTTTAGAGGAAGAGAGATGGTGTTAGATGGGTCCAATCAAGGAAGTTTGGAGAGATGGGGAATACTTAGCAAATCAAAAACCTGATGATTCAGATCCCAAAATGTTGTTTTGGAAGAATAGGTGTGTGAAAGTGTAAGGGGAAGACAAGTGAAAATGGCAAACAGAAAGCGTGACTGGAAGCTGCTCAGCAGTTCCACAATGCAGTCATTACGCCCTATTGTCAGGCACTGCACTAAGCCATGCACATATTTATCTTCTCCTCCTCCAATTATAGCAATGGTTATTACTAGACACATTTTATAGTTAAGAAAACTGAGACTCATAAACCAAAAGATCAAACCCTTTGCCATCAAGTTGATCCTGACTCATAGCAACCCTTTAGGACAGAGTAGAACTGCCCCATAGGGTTTCCAAGGCTGTAAATCTTCACAGAAGCAGACTGCCATGTCTCTCTCCTTCAGAGTGGCTGGTGGGTTCAAACTGCTGACCTTTCAGTTTGCAGCCAAGCCCTTTAACCGCTGTGCCACAAGGGTTCCCTAATTTGTCCAAGGTCGTTCAGGTAAAGACAAAATAATATTGAACCTAATCCTTACCCCAAATCTCTATTTTTAAACATTACTATGTCTCTTGGAAGTTCTGAGATTATACAGGTAGAAAAGAGATGGCAGCTGAGAACTATCTGTTCTCAGTAACTTTGCTATTACAGCTTGGATGTATTAGACAAATGACCTCACCCTGCTTTGGCCCCAGGCCCAGATTGGGGAATGGAGAAGAAGCCACAGCAGGGCAGTGAGAGGACCTGAAATGTCTAGTTAAAGAACACACCATCAGATATGTTAGCATCTTCTCGCTCCCAGTTCTCTCTCCCTCTTAGTAAAACCATGTTTCTTGCACCCATCCTTGCCCTCCTCCAGCTTCTTCATGCTTGATTGTTTCAGCTCTACTTTCCAGCAACTGACACTAAATTGTGCCCTTCTCCTAGCTCTTATCACAACTGTAGGCAAAAGAGATTTGGAATTTCTGTTCTGGCAAATGGAATGAGCTAAGGTTGCTGTCCACATCCAAGCGGAGCCATTGGGAGTACCTCCTATTTCCGTTCATTGGCATCTTCCAGTGAGGAAGAGTGACATTATCCCAACTATTGCTGGCTAGACTGCAGTGCAGGTTACTTTTAAGTCTGTGAGGAAAATAGAGAGGCCTAGGTGAAGGGGATAAGAAAAGGTAATTCTGGGGAGAAATAAAAGTAACTGAGTTCATGTTAAACAGGACCCTCGTGGGGGAAGTACACTGAAGGAGTGGAACCTGAGGGAAATGCATAGAAGTGTTGGGATGGGGTGGGGGTATCTGGGAAGATGCCAGAGACCATGGAAAATCTGTGATCTCACAGAATCCCAAATCTAAACCCAGAGCATGTTTTGGTCTAGAGCTCCCAGCCCTGAGCTAGGAAGATATGAGGCTCACTTGCTGGAGGGGAGGAGAGGGGCCAGGGTAGAGAGCAGCTGCGTAGCCTTGTTGCACTTCTGTTCCATTTGTCATCATCTTCTCTGTGTTCCAGTCAACCTCATCTTGGGTTGAAGAATGACAGGGGAAGGGAGTGCCTAACATGCCTGATATGGAATATGATATTGTTAGAGGCTTAAAGGGCATCTGTCTCTCTGAGCCTCCCTCCTGCCTGAGAGTTGGTTAAAGCAGTGGTGCACTCCTCTGACTTTCTTCACTGCAGCTGACCCAGGAGCAAACCGTGTTGAGGAAGAGCAGAGGAGCATGGGAACTGAAGAGAGATACGAGATACAAGGCAGAAATTGATAAAGCTTTGCAAATAGTTACCTTCCCCACCTCCCTGGAGAGTGCTCATTTGTTACAATGGTGGCCCCAGATCCCGATGTCCTTCACAGAGCTCCTTGGGTTGACGAGGCATTATTGCAAAGAGGTGTGTGTCCAGTGGGTGTGGTGCGTGCCGGGTGCCAGCCCCTGCTCTTCCCCTGTGCGGTACCCGTAGGTGATCCAGCAGGCCCTGCACAGACAGCCCAGCACCGCAGCTCAGTACCTGCAGCAGATGTACGCCGCCCAGCAGCAGCACCTCATGCTGCAGACGGCAGCACTGCAGCAGCAGCACCTCAGCAGCGCGCAGCTCCAGAGCCTGGCGGCTGTGCAGCAGGTAAGGGTTATGGGATGACGGTGACGACGACGACGACGCTGTTAGCGGTTGCAGTAGCAATAAGAGGGAAAAGAAGAGAAGAAGCCTGCGTTTATCGGGCACCGACTGTACAGCGGCTTCACATACGCGCTTGTACTGCATCCTCACAGAACCCCTGTGACACGGCACTATTGTCATCATTTCCTTTTTGTATATGAGGAACAGAGGCTCTGGGAGGTGAAGTACCTTGCCCAAGATCACACAGCTAATGAGTGGAATGGCTAGGAGTCTCACCCCGTCTAACCCAAGGAAGAAGTAAAGGGAGAACCATCTTTCTCAACCATATCACTACACTAGGGAAGGGACTGAGGAGTCCAAGGAGGTGTACACAAGAGAAGGGCACTGCCCATTAGCTGATCAGTCTGGTTTTGCCCTCTCTCCTTCTAGTGGCTGAGAAGAACTCATTCGTACCTTCATTCAACAACAATTTTAAGCACCTACTTAAAAATGCCAAAAGATTGTGTTAGGCACTGGGTATACGGTGAACCCTGTTCTCCTAGGGCCTATAGTGGAGAGACAGCAAGGAAACAGAAACCAAAATGTTCTTGTTCTTGTTAGGTGCTATTGCATCACAACCTTATGAATAGCAGTGAAACTAAAATAGAGAAGGAAATGTGATACTGAAGTATCGAAGTTGTGATAAGCACTGTGAAGGGAAAGAACAGATTGCTGTGACTAAATCACAAGAATTGCTCTAGAGTGGGTGGTCAGGGAAGGCCTCGCTAAGCTGCCACCTGAAGGGTGAGGAGGAGCTGGCCAGGGGAAGGAGGCAAGGTGGACGTTCCAGACTATGTAAAACTGTTCAGCATGGGAGCTGTGTGTGATATAGTGGGTTGGAACAGAGGGACAGAAGAGAGGTGAAAACACTAAGTAGTAGTAATAGCTAACAATTTGCTTACGTGTAAGTGCTATACATGCATTGCCTTGTTAAATTTTCTCAGCAACTCTATTAGGTAGATACCATTATTATCCACATTTTATAAAAGAGGAAACTGAGGCCCTTGCTCAAGGACACACAGATACAGCAGAATAGGGACTTGCTTCCAGATGATTTGACTCCAAAGGCTGTTCTCTTTACTATTGTCCTATAGTGCTTCTTTTGAGGAGCTCAGGCGGTACTGCATTTGGCTGCTAATCAAAAGGTCAACTGTTTGAACCCACCAGCCACTCCATAGGAGGAAGGTGAAGCAATCTGCTTCTGTATAGATTTACAGCCTTGAAACCCCTGTGGGGCAATTCTGCTCTATCCCATAGGGTCACTGTGAGTCGAATCCGCTTGATGGCAATGGGTTTGTTTTGTTTTGTATAGTGCTTCTTGTAGAAAATAAGCATCTAGGGAATGATTTGGGGAAGACCTGGGCGTCTAGTGATAGGAGTGTGTTCTCTTCTAGGCAAGCCTGGTGTCCAACAGGCAAGGGAGCTCTTCAGGCAGCAGTGTATCTGCACAGGCACCAGCCCAGTCATCCTCGGTGAGTAGACTGGGGGAAAGGCAGGCAGATCCCACAGCTCGGGGCCACTTCCTTCCTCCTTGTCCAAAATGCCTGTACAGTCACAGCCTAGTTGTGGTGAATCCTTAGCCATGGAGAATTATGGCTGGAATCTATTGCTCTTGCTAGAAAAAAAGTACATGCTACTTTCTAACCCTTACGTCAATAACTCCTGTCACCTTTCCCATGCCAAGGCTCAGTTCTCTCCCCATTGGATCATCCCTGTGGCTCTGCACCTAGGCCAGAGATGAGGGCAGTGCTGGGGAATCTCCAAGGTCCAAGAATCAGAGATGATCCTAAAGAAGGCTGAACCCACCAAGGAAAAGAAGAGGGGGATAAAAAGAAATGGATGAGGAGGGCACAGAGTTAACCAACAGAATGTTCTGTTCATGTCTCTGTCATCAGATCAATCTGGCAGCCTCCCCAGCCCAACTCATCAACCGGGCTCAGAGTGTCAACTCAGCAACAGCCTCAGGCATTGCCCAGCAGGCTGTGCTCTTGGGCAACACATCTTCTCCAGCCCTGACTGCAAGCCAAGCACAGATGTATCTAAGGGCACAGATGGTGAGTGCCCGTGGCTCAGGTGGCTCAGGAGAACAGAGAAGTTAGGACCTGGGGGATTAGAGAAGGGTGGGAAGAAGCACCATGGGCAGGGGGGCAAGTGGGATAAAGAAAGGTGGGCCTGGAAGGCTGAGTGGGAGCTTTGATATAGGCTCAAGGATTCAAGAATGGGTGGGATTCCAGGCTGAAATAGAGAAAGTAACCCTTGATGCCCCCTTTCCGTCCTCTCCTAGAGTGAAACAGTCAACCTTTTCTTAGAAGAGCCTCCCCATTCCCAAATTAATTAATGTAAAAAAAAAAAAAAAAAAGCAGGAGTCCGTGCCCAGATTGTCCTGCTCACTCAGATGTGTAAGATGAGCGGATACACAGACATCCATGTACACCATTGAAAGGGTCTTATCCCACTGTGACTGACCACTAGCTCAGGAGTCAAAGGTGCATCCCAGTACCGTTCTGTCCAGCAAGGCCTCCATTCCAGTCAAGTCACCACATCACATCACCTATTAATCAAGTGGGCTTGTTTGGGTAGAATGTACACAAGGTGCCTTCAGCCTTGGCCTGCATTCCTAGAATCTCTCCTTTGCACCTGTCCCATGGGTTTCTAATACTTAGGAGAATTTCCTGGGAAAATAACAACAGACTCCCTAGGAGGCAATAACAGATGGCTCCACCAGCCACTCCTCGGAAGGAAGGTTGGGCATCCCTACTTCCGTAGGGATACTGCCTCGGAAACCCAAGGAGGGGTCGCTATCGGGCTCAGTCACTTTAAGTCATATTTCATGCCTCCCATTCTAAAGATTTCTCCTTCAGCTCCTCGACACACCTTTCCGAAGACAACACAGTCCTCCTCCACTTTGCTCCTGTGGCCACAACTTGATACTTAGATCCTTTCTGGTCTCACTCACATACTTCCTCCATCCTTGGTTCTAAGTTTGTCACTTGAGTCACATCTCCACTTCCAGGGAATAACCTCTTAGACACACAATATGGAGTAGACTTCCGTGTCTCTAGGGAACTGGGGCAGTCACATTGTGACACTGCCCAAACCTGCCTTTGTCTTCGGTCAACTCAGTCCCATGTCCTACCCATCTCTACCAATTGGAGTCCTGAAGCCATCTACCTCCCTCCCCAAAGTGAGGCATGCACACACAGTGGAACAAGCATAGGTGCACTGTCGCACAGTTTTAGAGAAAGTGCCCTAGGAAGACAGCAGCATATACATATTGACACAAAGCTAGACTCATATGGAGGTGGAAGCATCACATGGAGGGCATATAACCTACACACCTCTGAAAGGAGATAACAGGTGCAAGGCCACTCCCATTGGCCTGGTTCCTCGACCACTGTCACAGTGCCATCGAGTCTAAATTTGACTGGAAAATGAATATACCTCATTTGATACGTTCTGGAGGACAGTCTTGTTCTGACCCAGACCTAAGGTCAAGAGTAGATTAGGCCTGGAAAATGGTCCTGAATCAGCCCAGTGTCCCTGCTCCCTGGGATGCTGAGGAGATAGTGACATCAGAGTGTCCTGGCAATATTAGTCCCCTCTAGGATGAGTTCCTCACAGTGGGGTCTGAAGTAAAGTTGACTTTGGAGCAGACCCAGAGTGGTCTTCCCCACCCACCCCCTTCACTGCCCAGCCTAGGTCAGGACTCCACAAGCCTTTCAGTTAGTACCCTTGGGCTCCTTCCCTTCCTTACCTCCCTATGTTACCTCCCTAAGCCTTCCTCATATCTGCTCCCTGGCTAAACTGTCTGTCCTGTGGCTGAGCCCACATTGGGCAGGTAAAAGGCGCCTCGTTTCCTGTGATTCCAGGCCCAGCCAGGTAACCTGGTGCAGGTAGCTAGGAGCCTAGGCGGCACTGTTCCTTTGTCCCCTCAGCTCATCTTCACGCCCACGGCCACCGTCGCTACTGTGCAGCCTGAGCTCGGCACTGGCTCCCCCGCCCGGCCCCCCACCCCTGCCCAGGTGAGGATTCCACGCTGGTGGGAGGGCAGGGAGGTGGGCATCCCTGTAGAGGGGTACTGATCCCAGGGATGGGCACAAGCCCTGGAGGACCTTTGAATTGTTGGAAAGGTGGGGATCTTCTAGGAATACAGGTGGGAGACAGGACTTCCTGGTGCTTCAGACTCGCTCTCTAATTCCTATTCCTATTGAGAAGGCTTCAGACCCTCTTGACTGTCTTGTTCCCTCCAACATAGGTTAGAAGTCAGAGAGCAGCATGTTGAGCTAAGCATGATTGCCATCTGCAGGCGCAGTGCTACATTTCGTACTTGACAACCTCTCCAATATATCTTATTTTGTTTTTATTGCTTCTTAAGAGGAAAATCCTGCTCTGATTACACATGCTAGCACAGTTAGGCATCAGGAAAAGTGGCATGGATGAGAGAGCAAAGATGAGTCCTGGGTTCCTACCTTTACTGGTAGCATATAGACATTATTGGTGTTGTAAAGATTCTATGGCAGCAGGGGAGAGGAACACCCTCCCGCAGCCATTTCCCCCATCTACACAGTGGGGACAGGGAGTGGAGGGTCTTTGGTGACAAGATAATCAAATTTGTCAGATTCAATCTGGTACAACCTCCATGTGTCCAGCAGAGGGCACCAGGGACCAGGTTGAGTAGGCACACTGCTCTGTCTTGGAAAAGCCTGCTGTTATACTTACTCTGAGAACAAGAGAATCCTTCCCTGGTCCTTCCTTAACTGACCTTGCTAGTAGGTTAACTTGCACTTTTGCCCTGGCCTTTCCAGCATGGGAAGCCCTGTGCCCTGCTGTATCTGGGAATTATTTCTTAGTAATACCACGTCTGGTATCCCTTTCTCCAGAAATTAATCCAGGCTCTTCCTGATAATGTGGGGGATGTGAGGAGATAATGAACAGGAAAAAAAAAAAAAGAAGCCTGATCTCCCTGCCCCACCTGCCCCAACCTAGGCAGCAAACCCTTCTCGGAATTCAGTTTCTTCTGCCGATGGATCCAACCACTAGCACTGTTTCTTGACTCTTTTAGAATCTCCACCTGATTCTGGTTCTCTCAGCTCCTAACATTCTCTCTCTCTTTCTCTCTGATTTTACACCCCACTATCCTATTCAGCCACTCCTGGATCCATCCTCAACTCTTTCTCTTGGTTGTATGTTGACATTGCTCCTATCTGCAGTCTCTGGACTCCCATAGAACCCTCTTTTCCAGGTACAGAACTTGACCCTCCGAACACAGCAGACACCAACTGCAGCAACCTCGGGCCCCACCCCCACTCAGCCTGTCCTGCCCAGCTTGGCCCTGAAACCCACGCCAGGTGGCAGCCAGCCTCTGCCTGCCCCATCACAGGGCAGAAACTCTGCTCAGGGTTCCCCTGCAGGCACCAAACCTGGCATAACTGACAGTGTGATGGAGCCACTCAAGAAAGGAGATGGCAACAACGGTGTGCCAGGGAGCATAGAGGGCCGGACTGGGCTCAGCCGAATGGTGCCTACTGTGGCTACCCACCCCCTCATTGCACCAGGTAAGGGCTCCGGGAGGAAGGACTCCTATCCTAGAAAACTCGAAAGGACTTTGGGGTTGGGAGGAAATGTTCAAACTTTTCTACTTCTCGTGGACACACAAAGACACTGGCCACATGTCTGTCTCTCCTTTCTCCATCTTGAGATGTTTATCAACTCCTGATTCTGTTTCATGCTTCTAGCTGAAAGAAGGAAGCCATGTAAGTGGGATAAATGAGCCCTTCTTCACAGTGGACACAATAATGAATCTTGGAGTACACAATCATAGCTCTTAACCTTGAGTGAGCAGAAGTTAGCAGTCATGCAATTTGAAATTCTCTAAGAGTAGGGAAAAGGACGGGGACTACCCAGAAGCATGTAAGAACCACACAGGGAGATGGAAAGGTAGGCAGTTTCTCTTCTCATCATTCAACAGACGTTTGTTGACTGTTTGCCAAACACATTGGCAGTTCTGGGTGTGCAGAGATAATTAAGACCTGGGCCCTCCCCTCCAAGGAGGGCATGGTCTCGTGGAGGAGGCAGACAAGTGCAGTGCAGTATAGTATGAGAGATGCTGTGATGTACGTAAGCTCTGAGTACTGTACGAACATAGAGGAGCTATCTATAGACTCGGGGAGCAGAGCCAAGAAAGGCTTGCTAGCAGAGATGACACTTGAGAATAAATCTAGGAAATTTTAAAAAATAAAATAGCAGATTACTTGTGAGGCAAATTCTGTGAAGACGATGAAACAGTATTCCCTGGGGCTAGACTCCTTTCCCTGCCTGCTGAAATTCTCCCAGCACTGCCTATTACAGGCAACCTTCAGTGAGAAAATCTGCCAAGAACCCCAGAAACCAGACTTATCAGTCGAGGAAACAAGACCAAGCTGTTATACCACAGAAACAAATACAGTGTTGGACCACAAGGCTCGCATTAAAGAAAGAATCACTCTGGTGTTCTTCCTGATAACTACTAGCCCTCTGTCTTCATTCTGACAGTTTATACCATCCAATCTAACCCACAATTTTTTTTTAGCACCTAATATATGTTTGTTACTAGGTTAACCAAAATGGCCAAAGTACAATTTCGTACCTAAAGGAGAGTGCAGTCCACAGGAGAAGGCCAAGTCCATGAGCAAATCCACTCAATTCTATCTATTCTATTATTGAAGTATGAGGTACAATGTGGGCACAGATGGTCAATTCAGCGCCCAGTGAGATGGGTTGGGAATGGTGTCACACAGAGGAAATGGCACATGGATCTTTAGCATGAGTAGTTTACTCAGCAGACTAAGTGGGGAAAGGTATTCCAGATGAAAGCGTAAGTAGGGAGCATTGTGGCAGTGAGTTGGGAAGAAACTGAGTTCAAGTCCTTTGTTCACTGTTTTGAGGCTTGAGAAATCATGCGAGGACAAAGTTTCAGTGATTACCGCTGAGATGAAGAGAGCAGCTCCATGCCGAGGCATCACTGCCCTGTGGTCCCAGGTGCCCGTTAGTCCATGTCTGGCATTGCTTTTTCCAGAAATTAGTCTAGGCTCTTCCTTTTATGGAAAGAGAAACTTAGGTCCCAAAGAGTAAAAGACTAGGGAGACTTAAAAGGGTGGCAGCTTGGAGTACAGCTAGGATCCCAAATCAGCATTTCTTCCACCTTCTCATTCCACCCACAAACCTAGAGCAACTTCAGGGCCTCGGGATTTCCTGAAAACCACATTCCTGCCTAGTCTAAAAGGTAACCTCTCTCTAAATCTAAACCAGCTCCCAAAATTCTAAGGATGCTTCAAAAGAAAGACTAAGGCTGCTAGGTAACTCCAAGGTCTCAAGAAAACTAGGCAGAAAGTACTTACGGAATGGCTATTGTGTGCAAGATAATAGTCTAGAGATTTTAATGCACACTACCTCTTTCAGTCTTCACAAAACCCTGTAAGGTGAATTTTACACATTAGAAAACTGAAGCTCAGAGAGTTCACTCAAGAACTTCCTATACATGTCACTCAAAATCACCTAAATAGCAAGTGGCAGAGCTGGGATTCAACCTCATGTCTGTCGCATCAAATCCTGCGCTCTCAATTAGCAAGTCATGCTGTTCTCAGTGTTTACAGTAATTTGGGGCTTCTAGGTCTTTCTTGTTCCTAACTCAAAGCTCAAAGAGCTTGGGGGTTCTAAGCTTGTTCTGAGGTATGCGAAGGTGGAGGACTCTCTTCCCTTGAACCATGTTACCAATGAGTTACAGGCTTGTGGTTCAGAGGCCTGGGTATGGCCTGGGCTAACAGTTGTTGTTGTTGTTGTTGTTATGTGCCTTCGAGTCTGACTCTACTCATAGCGACCCCTCCTTGGGTTGCCGAGGCAGTATCACTACGGAAGTAGATTGCCCAACCTTCCTTCCGAGGAGTGGGGCTGGTGGATTTGAACCGCCAGCCTTCTGATTAGCAGTCAAGTGCCTTAGGTACTATGCTGCCAGAGCTCCTAGGGCTAACAGTACGTGGCTCTAATACAGTATGGAGACCAGTGGCTCCACAGAACTTTCTATGGGGCAGCTGTGAGCTGCAGTACCACAAAGACCCTCTCCCCTACACACAAATCAGTGGGCTTTGCATTGTTCCTGCTTCCCACAGTCCCCTCCTATTCTTTTCCTCTCCCACCCCCTTCCTCTCCGTAAACCCTACGATTCTCCCTTGCCCCCACCTCCCAAAGGGAAGGCAGCTGGGAGAGATTTCAGAGGTGGTAGATCTTCTCAAATACTCAGGAACAAAAAGGGCTAAAATAATCCTTGTGACCTGATGAGGGGCAGCCTGGAGCAGCACCTGTCCTGGGCTCCTTAGTTCCCCCAGCAGAGGTAACATCAGGCCCCCTACCCAGCCAACACACTGTGAGTGAATTGTGAGATCAGAGAGCTGGAAAGAAGTGCATGTGTGGGTGTGAGAGAGAGACAGCGCACACACATTTTTTGTTTATTGGAGCATTTTTTGAGCTGGCTGATTGGCTGCCCCCAGGGAAAGTAACCAGTGGAGACTTGTGTTGAGGGGTGTGGGGGGATTTTAGCAGAGAGGAATGTGTTCTCCTGGGGGCTGTTTCCTCCAGAGCAGGCAAACCTTCTAGTCCCAGCTGGGGCTGCTCCCACTGACAGCTGTTTGGGGGCAAAGCCCCTCCCCCATGGCAAGCTCCCTGCTGCTCCTGCTCCTGTCACCTTGGCAACCAGCTTCTTTAGGCCTTGCAAATAGAAAAGGTCCCTTATGCCCTGAAAAGAGGTGGAGGTGGGTGGGGGAGGGGAGTAAGAGGCGGGAGAGCCGAGCCTAAGAGGTTGTGCTTTGGAGGGAAGGCAAAAGGTCTGGCTTTGCCCTCCTCGGTGATATGAGGACTGAACCACAGAGGGCAGAACAGGGCCAGGCAGCAGGGGTCCCATGGGCCTGGTCTCCAGAGAAGCCGAGCCCCAAGAGAGCTGGGCCCCAGCTCCAGATAGGAGGCGTGGTTCTTGGAGTCCTCATGCTAGTGGATAAACTCCGGGTCTTGAGTGCACTCTCAGGCCCAAAGGTGAGGAGAAAGTTGCTGACTGGGCGGGAGATGTGATAAAAGGGAACTGTGGGATCATGGAAAATCCTAGGCCCTTTACTCACAAATGTGGCCTCCAGATGCCAAGTCTTTGTTCTCGTCCTCACCCCGCCTCAGGTCACAGCTAAGGATTCTCTGTTAGGCAGAAGGCCTGCTACATCGCTGCTTTGTTTTATCAGGCTGATTTTGTGGCAGGGAGTAGTGATTTTCTGTATGTGATAGGCTGGACAAATTGATGATTTCTGATCCCAAGACTCTTGGTCACCATATTTCCTCCCCAAACTACCTAAAGAACCCAATAGCAGCAAAAACAAACAAGTGGGCCTGCTACCTAACAACTTTCCATAATGTTGATGTTAAAATCATGGAACCAACCATGAAGGTAATTTCAACCATCCATGGTAGGACCAAATTTAGATTACTAAGAATCACTTCCTTTTATTAGGAAAAAAGAAAAATTAGAGGATTAGGTCATCAGTGGAGGAATTTTATACTTTGCTTAATTAACATCCCTCACCATGAGGGAGACAGAAAGAAAGAGAGAAGTGATACACACAGAGTTAAGGGAATTCTTCACCTTCGACTTTTCTTATACTTCGACTTGCCTTATGTCCCTGGTTGCTGCCAGCTAATAATAATTACCATTTAATGAATAGACCTGTTCCAGGTACTGTGATACTTGTTTTCCTGCGTATCTCAATTAATCTTAACAATGAGTATTCTGTTTCACAAGTGAGAAAGATAAGGCTCAGAGTTGTCCCCAAATAGTTTTTCTCTCTTTAATTGTTCAGTTCAACTCAGTATAAATTCACTGAGCATCTATTATGTGCCAAACATTGTGCTATGCACTATGGGAGATACAATATGGATTACAGCTTAAATTCTAATAAGGGTTGCAGAAGTTTGAGTTGTGCCTTGACAAATGAGTATGTTTCAAGACTGGAACAGGAGGATTATCTCAGCTGGCACTGGGATGTACCTAAGCCAAGAATGGCCATGTGTGCATGTGACCATCTGTGTGTGTAAAAGGGACTTGCTCCTCTTTTTCCTTTTCCTGTGACCCACCACCATTAGCTGTGGAGCTCTCAAAGGGCAGTCTCGTGCCCCCTTCTTTTCTCCTCCAACACTTATTCCTTAGAAGAGCTCGTCCATTCACACATTTCAGACACCTACCACCTGTCTGCAGATGGCTTCTAATGATGCATCCATCCCTGTCCTCATCGCCTCTCCCCATAGAATTCCAGCTGTCTCTAGGATCATCCTACCTGGCTATCACCGCACCTGCCCACAGATTTCTTTTTGAGATTGAGAGTACACATGTTAAACAAACAAAAAACACCTGAACTCTTCTACAGAAAGGTCCCCTTCCCAGTTCCTGACTACTGTCCACAGCTGTGAAGTATCCCTGTACTCTAGCCTCACATGCAGACTTATTTTGACCTCCTTTTGCTTCATCAATAAGAGCTCTGGTAGCATA